CAGCCTATCCTCCTCCCCATACTTGTCCCTATATCCATCTCTCTTCCTGAGAAATATGTGATTTTAGCCTCCCTGAGGCTACAGGGCCAGACTGAGGCGACTCTAGAATGACAAAGGCTTATTCAGCTACAAGTTGAATTCTAGTCTGGGGTGACCCTTAGGTTCCAAATTTGGACCCTGCACATTATAAAGCCAGTCTGAATTTCTTCCTTTTTTAAATTTTTTTGAGATGGAGTCTTGCTCTGTTGCCCAGGCTGGAGTGCAATGGTATGATCTCAGCTCACTGCAACCTCCACTGGGATTCTCCTGCCTCAGCCTCTCCGAGTAGCTGGGACTACAGGCTCATGCCACCATGCCCAGCTAATTTTTCTGTTTTTAGAAGAGACGAGATTTCACTATGTTGGCCAGACTGGTCTTGAACTCTTGAACTTGTGATCCACCTACCTTAGCCTCCCAAAGTGCTGGGATTACAGGTGTGAGCCAGCATGCCTGGCCACCACTCTGAATTTCTGAATCAAGCATGGAATTATTCTAATCTCCTTGGTAGCCCTCCAGATGAAGACTGATTAGACTGCACTAAGAGACAAGACCTATGGTGAGTGACATCCAGTATCCCTCACCATACTCAGGACAGATTTAAGAGTCAACATAATAAGTAAGCATTCATTTTAATGAATCCTAGAAAAATCCCTTTTCTGGCTGGGCACGGTGGCTCACACCTGTAATCCCAGCAATTTGGGAGAGCGACGCAGGCAGATCATGAGGTCAAGAGATTGAGACCATCCTGGTCAACTTAGTAAAACCCCGTCTTTACTAAAATACAAAAATTAGCTGGGCACAGTGGTGTGCACCTGTAGTCCCAGCTACTTGGGAGGCTGAGGCAGGAGAATTGCTTGAACCCAGGAGGCAGAGGTTGCAGTGAGCCGAGACTGGCCACTGCACTCCAGCCTGGCGATAGAGCGAGACTCTGTCTCAAAAAAAAAAAAAAAGGAAGAAAGAAAGAAAAATCTCTTTTCTGAAAGCAAGCACTTGCCTCTTACAACAGCAATAATTTGGTAGATATAGTTTTTAAGCACATGTATCTAGGCCTAGAGTACCTAAGATTATAAAGCTAAGGTTACCAATATAGGTGCTAATAGTCAAACTTAATAAATAAATAAGTTTTAAAGTACTAGACCACATAGTATTATTAACAAATATTCCTGGCCTTACAATGTGTATACGCAAATGAAACAGAAATTCCTTTGTGAGCAAATACGTGCTTTCAAGGGTTCTACAATCAGATTAATACCTTGTTCATTAAGGACTCTAGGACACCACATGCATACACACCAATTCTTAATTTAGTCACTGAAATTTAGCCTGCATCAGTTTCCAAGGATTTTACCAGAGTTGGTCTAACCTTTGAGATACTTCTTATCCCAGTCTAATTCAAGTATTATTAATAGGCTCCCCGGAGCTTGTTATCTTTGACTCAAGCACCTCGTGGTCTCATCAAAAGCTGCCAAGAAAAGTCTCTAAGTCAAAAGAAACATCAAGGCACCACAAGCTGCAATGCAAATTATCTACTGTGTCACTGTAGAAGGAGAAGAAAAATTGTCCCCCAGTATTATCTGGGGGCTTCTTCTAACGAGCCAAGACAATAATCCACAGTTGGTCAAGTGGCCATGGACAAAAGAGAGAAAAGAAGCAATTATCCAGATAATTTATATCATGCTTGTATAACAGATGGACATTTTAAATAAATAATTCAGATAATTGTACCACTCACTCTCCATTTCACAGAAGGTGAATTGATTGTAGAGTAGGTGGTTCAGCTACTGACAGCTCCAGTCTCACATTTGAAAATAGGTCGGCCAGGCACGGTGGCTCATGCCTGTAATCCCAGCACTTCGGGAGGCCGAGGCAGGCAAATCTTTTGAGGCCGGGAGTTTGAGACCAGCCTGGCCAACATGGCAAAACCTCATCTCTACTGAAAATACAAAACAGCTGGCATGGTGGTGGGCACCTGTAGTCCCAGCTACTTGGGAGGCTGAGGCACGCCTCAGCGCTTGAACTTGGGAAATGGAGGTTGCTGTGAGCCGAGATTATAGAGATTATACAACCGTACTCCAGCCTGGAAGACAGTGAGACTCTGACTCACAACCAAAACAAAAGAAAACAAACAAAACCAAAAAAACTTCCCAAAGTCATGGAGAAACATATTGTAACACTTCGGAAACTGACTTGCAATGTTTTGAAACCAATAAAGGCCCATTGTCTTGATTCAAAGATATAGATTCTCAACAGAAGATCTTAAATCTTTAAGCAGCTTAACTTTTAGCTGACTTTGTCTCGGCCTGAGTATACCTGTTCAATTCAACTCCTTGTCAGCCCTATAAGTGGAAACGAATGCTTATATTGTGTTTACAGATGCTAAAAGAAAAATCCATAGCTGTCATCCCCTTCTTCTTTTATTTCAAGAAATTATTAGGCCAGGCATGGTGGCTCACACTTGTAATCCCAGCACTTTGGGAGGCCAAGGTGGGCAGGTCACCTGAGGTCAGGATCACCTGAGGTTAGGATCACCCGAGTTCAGGAGTTGGTCAGAGCCTGGTTAACAAGGTGAAACCCCGTCTCTATTAAGAATACAAAAATTAGCTGGTTGTGGTAGCACACACCTGCAATCCCAGCTACTCAGGAGCCTGAGGCAGGAGAATCACTTGAACCTGGGAAGTGGAGGTTGCAGTGAGCTGAGATCACACCACTGCACTTCAGCCTGGGGGACAGAGTAAGACTTCATCTCAAAAATAAATAAATAAATTAAAATATTACTGAATGTGAAGAGTATATAATTGAGAGATGTTGCGCTTCATGACCTGGGGTGATAGTAAGAGAGAAGGAAAGGAACCAAGGAGGTTAGTCTTGAAAGAAGGTCTCAGAAAAATGGTTACCTGGTATGGAAGGGAGATCTACCATGAGTGCTCTCAAAGAAGGTGCTTTTCTCACAGTGATGTTAAAATGTGCATGGTAAGAACCAAACTCAACCAACTAGCAGCGTTACCTTAAAAGAAACAAGGCTAGAGAGTTACACTAAGAAAACCATGCTTTGATAGAAGAGTGATTCAAAAAAGGAACACATGGACTAGAAAGCTGGATTGTATTTCTTTATCCTCTATAAACCCATGAAATGATTTCTTCCAGAATCCAGATCTCGATCGCCTTTATATCCCAAATACATCTGAAAAATAAGAATTCAGCTGGTGCAGTGGCTCACGCCTGTAATCTCAGCACTTTGGGAGGCCAAGGTGGGCGGATCGCCTGGGGTCAAGAGTTCAAGACCAGCCTAGCTAACATGGTAAAACCCTCTTTCTAATAAAATAACAAAAATTAGCCGGGAGTGGTGGCAGGTGCCTGTAATCCCAGCTACTCGGAAAACTGAGGCAGGAGAATCGCTTGAACCAGGAAGTCAGAGGTTGCAGCGAGCCAAGATCGCGCCATTGTACTCCAGCCTGGGAAATAGAGTGAGACTCCATCCCAAAAAATAAAAAGAAAATAATTCACCTTCCCAAAGAGTTCAGAAATTTAAGGTTTAAAATTTAACGTGGTTCTCTTAGATTTTATCTTATTTTACATTCAGCTCTTTATTAAGTGGGACATAAAGCTCTGGTGATTTAGATCTGAAAAATCCATGCTTGTGGACCACTTCTTTACTTTCTAACTTTGCACAAATAATTTTCCTGAGCTTCAGTTTCCGCATCTGTAAAATGAGAATAACAACACTACCTGCCACACCTACTTCAAAGGATCACTGCTGAGATTCGTAAGAACATGTGAATTCAAACAGCAAAGCACTCTACAAATATTGGTTGCTACCTTAGGTGGTGAAATATTCTGAGCAGAAAAAAAGATGAATACAAAATAGGGTGAAAAAGTTTCTTCTACCTGAGACAGAAGTGTGTGTGTGTGTGTGTACATATATATGTACACACACAGTGAGAAGTAACTTTAAGCTACTGACTAAATATATTTAGGAAAGAGGTCTGAGATAAAGTTATTATTTAAAAGGGGATTCTCATGCCAACATCCACTTTGCACAGACGGCAGAAGAAGAAAAATAAGAAAGATTAAGAGTGGGTGTCTGGCTCTCAGCTCACCAAAATAACTGATGAACTTCCATTCGGGGAGAAAGGGTGTCCTTAGTCATGACAGTCAGTAGATAGAGAATACTGTTGCATTAGGTGATAGAAGTAAAGGTGTTACCAAACACAGATCATCCACAATCTATACAGTAAAGCTATGTATAGGGCATGGGATTTCTATAGAGCACTTTAGAAAAAAATGAATAGAAAGGCTATTCCATAAGTATCAAACAGAAGTAATTCAATAACTTAGTTCTCCACAGGAAGCTCTCAGGGAGGTAGCACTGCTGAGAAGAAAGTTAAGATACCTGTAACAACGAGGTCGGGTGTTCTAGGAGCTATAGCTTAGAGGCGACACAAACTGTTTTGAAGTACTACAAATCAACAAAACAAAGAGTAGTTTGAGATCTGATTGTCTTTACCCAGTATAAGGCTTTACTCTAAGTGATCTAAGATATTCTATAATGGGGACACACAACAAAACAGAATTTTCTGAAAGGGCATCAGACCGATGACACTGTGCCTATGAATGACACGGTGTGCAAGCACGCCAACCAGACATAAGTGAAGATAACTAATCTATAGGGATAGAAGCAGGGACAAGATCATCGGTAACCATGACAACACAAGTAGGTGGAGGGAAATACAAACACTGACCAGGCAGCGGGGTGACACTATTCCTAAAGGTAGAGAACCTGGTGTCGGAAAAAGACTTGATTAGTGGAGGAAGCTGGCCAAGATGAAACCGACTAGCCCAAAAGGGTAGTGTCCGTGCAGGAAGACTCGGCGGCAACACTGATACTCCCCAAGAGACAGCTCGCAGAGTCAAAGGCTCATCCGTAGGAGACTGGACGCCTCTAAGACCGAGAAAGGAGTTACCTGGTGCAGGGCTGTCAAGCCGTCCACGTTGACAGTGTTGATATCGGCACCTCTTGCCAGAAGCTTTTTCACCTCGTCGGTGTCCCCGCTAGAACAGGCGGCCAGGAAGACAGCACCGTCTTCGAAGCGGACCCTGGGGCTCCCGCGCCTGGTCAGCGGCTGCCGCCCCATGCCTCTTCGCTCCGCAGGCTCCTGCTCTGTCAGTGAGCCCCGCCAGCGCCGAAGCTGCTCTGCCCGCCGCATTCGCGCCGACTCTGCCCGTTTCCCTCCTATATGCTCCAGCTCCGCCATTGCTGCGGCTTCGGCAGCTGCTGCCAAAACTACCAACACTAAATTACTGCTGAGGCTTGGGTTGCCGCTGCCACCTCCCTCAGAGCGCTTCAGCCGGGAGCAGAGGGCGGAGACCCACGCGCCGCCATCTTTACTCCTCCCGCCACTAGCACCGCCCGCACGCTCCCTAGGCTTCAATACGCAGGCCCTGCCCGGGCTCGGGTCATCACGGGACTTGTAGTAAAGAGGCCTGCCCTAAGGGCACTTGATGGCGGTAAGGGAACTACAAATCCCTGGATGCATCAGAAAAGAGGCGAGGACCGGCGGCTCTCTCTTTAGCCACCGGACCCAGCGGGGTCACCTTTGCCCTAAAGCTGGAACTGTCTCCTGGATTGGCATCTGCCTCTTCCTTTGGGCATTTTGGGAGTTGTAGTTTTTCTTGTTACGACTAGTAACTAATCTTAGCTCCCTAATTTTCTCATCAATCCTTTGGAGTGGAAAAGGGGCGGTAATTATGCCTATTTCCTGAAGGGGAGAACTAAACATTAAGTTCCTAAATGACTGGAATCTATGTCCTAGTTCTAATTCTAGAGTTTTGTTAACATTAATCACAGTAAATGTGAATGTGTGTGGGGAGGAGGAGCATACGTACACAGTATTACATGTTTTCCATAAATACTGTCAGCATGGACACTTATTTTAGGCCCAGAAAAGATCTTGAAAACGATGCATTCAGAAGTAGTGAAAAGAGCTTAAGCTTTGAATTTAAATTGAATTCACAGCCGTAGACAAATTACTTGACTTCTCTGAGCCAGTTTTCTTATGTGTAAATGAGAATAATATCTCACAGGGTAGTCGTGTGGATCAAATGAAATAAAACATGCAAGGATGCCTAGTACTATCTTTGGCACATATTGGATCCCAATAAATAATTTCTCTTATCTCTCCCTCCACCTCTTCTAATCTTTTCATATATCTTAAATTCCTACAAGACAGATGTCTTGTCTTCCATGATTTTTATTAAATTTATTTTCTTTTGAGATAGTCTCAGTCTCACTCAGGCTGAGTGCAATGGCACATCATGGCTCACTGCAGACTCAACCTCCTGAGCTCAATCGATCCTCCCACCTCAGCCTTCTGAGTAGCTAGGACTACAGGCGCCCACCCCCACACCCATTATTTTTTAATTTTTTTGTAGAGTTAGGGTCTCACCATGTTGCCCAGGCTGGTCTGGAACTCCTGGACACAAGCAATCCTCCTGCCTCAACCTCTCAAAGTGGTGGGATTACAGCCCTAAGCCACTGTACCTGGCCCATGATATTTTTTTCAAAGCTAGAGAAAGATACTATCAAACATACTAAATTCCTAAGGTAGCAAATAGGACATTTTTATATTCACCAAGACTGGGTTATAAAACATATATCTGTCTGGTTATTTTGTTTAAGACAGGGTCTTACTCTGTCACCCAGGGTGGCGGGCAGTGGCATGCTCATGGATCACTGCAGCCTCAACTTCACAGGCTCAAGCCATCCTCCCACCTCAGCCCCCAAGTAGCTGGCTGAGACTATAGGCCTGTGCCACTACACCTGGCTAACTTTTGTATTTTTTGTAGAGACAGTTTTGCCATGTTGCCCAGGATAGTCATGAGCTCCTGGGTTCAAGAGATCTACCCACCTCAGTCTCCCAAAGTGTTGGGATTATAGGCATGAGCCACTGCATCCAGCCAGTCGGACTGATTTAATAACCATAACCTCCAGTGCTCTAGCCCTGAACATAGTATAATTAAATGTGTTACCCATAATGAAAGAGTACATATACAATTATTATTTAAACTTTTCTGTATGTTTAAAATTTTTCATTAAAAAATGTTGCAAAATGATTGGGGTATTGTAAAGGGGAACTTTATTATATTCTGTCATGTGAAAGTTTGCCTGTTCCTCAATTTCCCCAATTTCCCCTGAAATGAAGTGTAAATCACATATTAAGGAAACAATTAATTATTAAATTGAAAGCCTCAAATGAAAAGTTACATATAAATGTAAAAATTATGTTTAATAATATTGTGTTGGCTGGGCGTGGTGGCTCACGCCTGTAATCTCAGCACTTTGGGAGGCTGTGGTGGGCAGATCATGATGTCAGGAGATCAAGACCATCCTGGCCAAGATGGTGAAAATCCATCCCTGCTAAAATACAGAAAACAAAATTAGCTGGGCATGGTGGCAAATGCTTGTAGTTCCACTTACTTGGGAGGCTGAGGCAGGGAAATCGCGTGAACCCAGGAAGTGGAGGTTGCAGCGAGACGAGATTGTGCCACTGCACTCCAGCGTGGCAAAAGAGCGAGACTCTGTATCAATAAAATAATAATAATAATAATACTGTGTCTACCTGCCATATGATTTAGTTGGGTATTCTTAAATACATTATAAATACTAATTAAGCCTCATGTCACATCTGTGTACTATGAATAACAATGTACACAAAGATAATCAAGGTATAATAATGTATATATTATGTAACCTCATTTTCCTTACTACATGTATTTATTCATGGTTACCATAGAACTTGTCATGTCTCATTATTTACTGCAATTAAAAATTTTTGGCCAGACGTGGTGGCTTATGCCTGTAATCCCAGCACTTTGGGAGGCCAAAGTGGGCAGATCACTTGAGGTCAGGAGTTCGAGACCAGCCTGGCCAACATGGTGAAACCCCATCTCTACTAAAAATACAAAAATTAGCTGGGCGTAGTGGTGGGTGCCTGTAATCTCAACTACACGGGAGGCTGAGTCAGGACAATTGCTTGAGCCCAGGAGGCAGAGACTGCAATGAGCAAAGATCATGCCACTGCATTTCAGCCTGACTGACACAGCAAAACTCTGCCTTAAAAAAAAAAAAAATATATATATATATATATATAATTCATGAGAGTTACTTTGTAACATGTCACAATGGGACCTCCTCTTATTCCAATTCAGCCTCTTGCTGATAATTAATACTGCCCACAAGCTCCCAAATAGAACTCTCCCTTAAGAATAAAATAAAAGGCCAGGCATGGTGGCTCATGCCTATAATCCCAGCACTTTGGGAGGCTGAGGCGGGTGGATCACAAGGTCAAGAGATCGAGACCATGCTGGTCAACAAGGTGAAACCCCGTCTTTACTAAAAATACAAAAATTAGCTGGGCGTGGTGGTGCGCGCCTGTAGTCCCAGCTACTCAGGACGCTGAGGCAGGGGAATTGCTTGAACCCAGAAGGCGGAGGTGGCGGTGAGCTGAGATTGTGCCATTGCACTCCAGTCTGGGTAACAACAGCAAAACTCCATCTCAAAAAAAAAAAAAAAAAAAAGAATAAAATAAAAATTGATATTAAATCAAATAGGTAAGAATATTCATAGGTCATTTCAGTATTATGTTTCTGGTATATGATAGCTGCTCAGTAGATAGATAACCCTTATTAGAAGATCAGTATGCCAGTAAAACAGAAAGTTATATATAAGATAGTTTTACTGGCATACTGGTCTTCTAATAAGGATTTTTAAACTGGAGTCAATTTTTCAGGGATCAATAATTTTTTTTTGGCTGCATTCTTTTTGTATTCAGAATTAGGGAGCAAAAAATACCTGATTCCAATTCTTTAAATAAGCCAAAATTGACCCACTCCAAGTTAAATCCTTACTTTCCCAAGAGATATAAGCTTAAATTTCATTCTGTTTTTTGGAGACAGAGTCATCCAGGCTAGAGTGCAATAGTGCCAACATAACTCACTGCAGGCTCAAACTCTTAGACTCAAGCAATCCTCCTCCCTCTACCTCCTGAGTAGCTGAGACTATAGGCACATGCCGCCAGGCAGGCTAAAATTATTTTATTTTATTTTATTTTTATTACTATTTTTTTTTAAGTAGATACAGGTCTTGCTATTTTGCCCAGGCTGGTATTGAACTCCTGGCTTCAAGCAGTCCTCTCGCCTCAGCCTCCCAAAGTACTGAGATTTTAGGTGTGAGCCACCATGCGCAGCCTGAGCTTAAATTTCAAAAAATAAATAATTTCCAGGAAGCCAGAAGTACTTTCTTACTATACTTATTTTATTTGCTTCTTTCCTTCTTTTTTTTTCCTGTGGGAGTAAGAGTGTAATACCTTCTTTGGAGATTTCACAGAAAAGTGTAAGTAGCTAAATTCCTTGGATAGTTTAAGTGCATATCTACTCGGAGAGAGAGAAATATACCTTCTGGCTATATGATTATTAAAGTAGTAATAATTTTTTTTTTTGAGACAGAGTTTCGCTCTTGTTACCCAGCTGGAGTGCAATGGCACGATCTCAGCTCACTGCAACCTCTGCCTCCTGGGTTCAAGCAATTCTCCTGCCTCAGCCTCCCAAGTAGCTAGGACTACAGGCATGCACCACCATGCACAGCTAATTTTTATAATTTTATTAGAGACGGGGTTTCACCATGTTGACCAGGATGGTCTCGATCTCTTGACCTCATGATCCACTCACCTAGGCCTCCCAAAGTGCTGGGATTACAGGCGTGAGCCACCGAGCCCGGCCCGAAAGTGGTAATAATTATTATAATGTAATTAATTTAACAGGCTCAGCCAAAACAAATGCCATGAAAACATTAATCTATCTATAATGACTTGAAATGTTTTTTCAAATCAAAATCGTATTTTTTCTAAAACATCTTTCCCAACCAGGGCTTTCTGAGAATAACTTACATAATCAGCTCATTAAACAAGTATGGTAATTTAAATTTCCTAAATAAGTACTCTATTCTTTTATTATAGTGGGTCAATTTTAGCTTATTATTCTTTTATTATTTATTTTTGAGACAGGGTCTCACTCTGGATTTGCAAGTGGCACAATCACAGCTCACTGCAACCTTGACCTCCTGGGCTCAAGCTATCATCTCACCTCAGCTTCCCAAGTACCTGAGACTATAGGCATGAACCACCATGCCTGAGCAATTTTTGTATGTTTTGATAGAGATGGGTTTTTGCCATGTTATTCAAGCTGGCCTCAAACTTGTGGACTCAAGCGCTCTGCCCACTGAGGCCTCCCCAAATGCTGGGATTACAGGCATGACCCACTGCACCTGGCTATAAGCATACTTTTTTTTTTTTTTTTTTTTGAGTCTCATTCTGTCACCTGAGCTGGAGTGCAGTGGTGCGATCCCAGCTCACTGCAACCTCTGCTGCCCAGGTTCAAGTGATTCTCCTGCCTCAGCCTCCTGTGTAGCTGGGATTACAGGCACCTGTCACCGTGCCCAGCTAATTTTTGTATTTTTAGTAGTGATGGGGTTTCACCATCTTGGTCAGGCTGGTCTTGAACTCCTGACCTCATGATCCACCTGCCTCAGCCTCCCAAAATGCTGGAATTATAGGCGTGAGCCACTGCGCCCAACTAAGTATGCTATTCTAAAGAAAATATAAGCCTGGCCAACATGGTGAAATCCCATCTCTACTATAAATACAAAATTAGCTGGGCATAGTGTCGGGTGTATGTAGTCCCAGCTACTAGGGAGGCTGAGGCAGGAGAAGTGCTTGAACCTGGGAGGTGGTGGTTGCAGTGAGCTGAGGTCGCATCACTGCACTCCAATCTGGGGGACAGAGTGAAACCCTGTCTCAAAAAAATAAAAAATGAAAATAAATAAAATATTTTTTCATATACTACTAAGTAAATCCTGACAAATAATACTGTGAACAAATAAAATACAATTGTTATACTTTCATAAGTACTAAGTAAGCCTGCTATGATGTGTTATTAAAGTGAAGAAACTTTTCTAAAATAATAATTTTCATATCTCCTCTACACTTAAAGAAATTATAACATTACAATGCTCCATTTTAAAAAACAATGACACCTGTAAAAAGTTTATGAAAATCTTTTAGCCTGGCCTGTGTTCCAACCAGTTAACATACCCCCCTCTGGTGGACAAATGGAAACTGTACACTAAGTGTATGGGGTTCTTTTTTTTCTTTCCCTTCGTTTTCTTCTTCCCTCTCTGCCTCCTTTTGTTCCTTCCTCTTTTTCCTTCTACCCTTTTTCTTTCCTCTCGTTGCCAAAATTATAGGGACTTACTTGTTTTATCAGAGCATCTCTCTTTTCCACCAGACTCAATACAGTTCTTGCTTTTCCTAAGAGACATTTTTAAGACCTATTTCTCAAAGAACCACCAAAGGAATTAATCAATTTCAGTTCTGAAGACAGAACTGTAATTGAGACACAATTACAGTAGGGGCCAGAAGAAAATAAAGACAGGCTTGGAAAGGACTAAAACAGAAAACATCGGTAGTAAAATAAGGAGCAACTCAATTGTGACAGAAAACACTTCATTAAATGCTGAGTAAATGCTAACAATAAACGCAAAACCCCAACAGCGAACTGGAAATTAGACTGGACAAGAACGGGATTCCTTATGCTTGTTTTACAACTTCATAATAATTAATAAACTACTGTAGTTGGCTTATTCCTACAACTAAGGTGAGCAACCCCAGGGAAGCATCACAGAGTCCTAGTGAACATGTGGGTCTCTTGATAGAAAACACACCACACAATGGTCATAGGGAACCAGTTGCCACTTAACACCAATTTTGACTAGATGTAGACCTCACTAAGTGGCCAAAATAATACTCTACAAGTTTAGAAAGAGACTGATTACTCCATTACCAATAATAGTAATAAATAGTATAATAGTAATAAGTTACTATTACTGCCACCTTTGTTCCAAAGCTACACAATGAGCTGAGAGCAGTCAGATGAGGGCTGGCTTTTTGCTTGTTTTTCCACCCACAGCATTCCCAAAGGCTAGTCAAGTTCCAGCATAGTCCTTTAGATTAAGTCAGGTCTGCCCCATCCTTTAGCGCTTATTGGCCTCTAGCAGAGGCAGCTCTGAGAAGTTAAGGTTGGCTTAATTGTAAACAGGTTCTTCCTTGTTCAGAAAGTATACCATGCATGCACCTAGAGTTGGAAGACGGTTTAAAAGCCATCTATTCAAACTGCCACCCAGTGCAAAGATCCTTTCTGCACTATCCCTAACAAGTGATGATCTAACTGCCACTTGAACATTTATTTCCAGTGGTGAAGGAATTCACTACCCCTTACGTTTACCTATTTGTTCTTCAGAGTTATAATTGATAGAATGCTTTATTGAGCTAAGTTCTCCATCTCTTATTCTTTCATCCGTTGTCCTTACATGTGTCCGCTGAAGTAGTAAAGTCTCCCATATATGAAAAATATTTAAAATAAAGGAAGACAGCTACCAGGTATTCTCTTCTCCAGATTAAATATTTCTGGTTCCTTTCATTGTTTTTCCTAAGAAACGATTTCCAGCTCCTTCCTTGGTCTGACAGAGCCGAGTTTGTAACCGAACTTGGACCGCCTGATGACGTCTCAGGGTTGAACCACAGGGTGTAGAAAGCTGAGTGGCGTCGCCCGGCCCGCGTTCTCATTTGAATGCGTGGGTATTCAGAGCGCTGGCCAATAGAGAGAAGCGCTGGCTGCGCTTCTTTCCCGGGGGATTACTGTGGGCCAATCACAATCCTCTCAAACAAGGGGCGGAGCCACGCCAACAGTCTGAGGTCGCGCAGGCACTGGTATCCAGCTGGTTCGCTTGTTGCTGCGTTGTGAGGGGTGTCCTCTAAGGTAAGCAAGGAGAGTATTCCGGCTCCCCATCTGTAAGAACGTACCACGGAGGTGGTCACTGAGCCCTGGGGGGAAGGAGTCCTGTTTCCGCTTAACATGGGAGTTTTCGCCTCCTCTGAAAGCAGAGCCTCACAAAAGCCACTACTGAGCGGAGGGTCTCCCCGTATCTTTGCAGGAAATCGTGGTCAGAGTTCCTCTGAGCCTTCCTCCTGCAGCTGGAAAGGACATAACAGCCCACTACTCGCCGCGGGTTGTGCACTGGCTGTTTTGCCTTCTTCAACATCTGGTCCAAACCCACGTTTCGGTCATTAATTATCCAAATTTACTACACACTTGATACAAGAAAGGACTAGGGACCTGCCTTCAAGGAATTCACCCTTAAGGGGAAGGAACTGTCGGGGGAATTAGAACAGGATGCAAATTGATGTGGACGCGGAGAGGGTGACATTGGAAAGGTGTGAGGGTGGGGATGCATTACTAGGGAAGGAGTTGTTATTTAATACGTACATATCTATAGGTGTGAAAGAATACGACTTTTATGGGCAGCAGGAATAGGGCTGTATGACTGAAGCATGAGTTTGTGGAGAGTAGATACTAGATATAAGGCGGGATGTAAGGGTTAGATTGTAAAGAACCTTTATACCCAGAAAAATAGGCAGTTATTCGTGGCAGTTGAGCCAAAGAATGGCGCATGCCAATTTTGGTTAATATGGTGAGATTGGAGTCTGGTTGCTCCCTTGGGAGAAATTGTCTTGCCTGTTTTAATCCCTTTACCATGGCTTTCCACTGTTCTCATTTTATATAAAGGTACGCTTTATACTTTATACTGGGTATCTATGAGGGATGGTTCCAGGACATCCTGCGGATACCAAATCCATCAAAGGTTAAGTCCCAGATATAAAATGGTGTAGTTTTTGCATATAACCTATGAATGTCCTCCCGTATACTTTATATTTAAACTATGCTTGTCCTCCCCATATAGTTTATATTTAAGAGATTTAAGAGCCTTTGTTGCTCAGGCTTGTCTTTTTTTTTTTTTTTTTTTTTTTTTTGAGACGGAGTTTCGCGCTTGTTACCCAGGCTGGAGTGCAATGGTGCGATCTCGGCTCACGGCAACCTCCGCCTCCTGGGTTCAGGCAATTCTCCTGCCTCAGCCTCCTGAGTAGCTGGGATTACAGGCACGCGCCACCATGCCCAGCTAATTTTTTGTATATTTTTTAGTAGAAACGGGGTTTCACCATGTTGACCAGGATGGTCTCGATCTCTTGACCTCGTGATCCACCCGCCTCGGCCTCCCAAAGTGCTGGGATTACAGGCTTGAGCCACCGCGCCCGGCCTTTTTTTTTTTTTTTTTTTGAGGCAGAGTCTTTCTCTGCCACCCAGGCTGGAGTGCACTGGCATGATCTTGGTTCACTGCAATCTCTGCCTCCCGGGTTGAAGCAGTTCTCCTGCCTTAGCCTCCCGAGTAGCTGGGATTACAGGCATGCACCACCATGCCTGGCTAATTTTTGTATTTTTAGTAGAGACAGGGTTTCCCCATGTGGGCTAGGCTGGTCTTGAATGCCTGACCTCAAGTGACCCACCTGTCTCAGCCTCCCAAAGTGCTGGGATTACTGGCATGAACCACCTTGCTGGCCAGTTTTGTTTTCTTTTGTTTTTGAGACAGACTTGCTCTGTCGCCCAGGCTGGAGTTCAGTGGCATGATCTCAGCTCACTGCAACCAACTTCTGGGTTCAAGCCTTTCTCCTGCCTCAACCTCTTGAGTAGATGGGATTACAGGCCTCTGCTACAGCACTCCCCCCTCCCAAAAAAATCCCTAAACTAATAAACCACAAGGATCTCACAAGAAACTATCGCCTGGGCGACAGTTCGAGACTCCATCTAGATCTTGGCTCACTGCAACCTCCTCCTCCTGGGTTCAAGCAATCTTATCTTACTGAATTTTTACCCTTTTCCCAATTTGATTTAGAGGATCTGTGAATCTCAAAGAAGTAGAGAGACAGGTGATTGTTTGTGGGATAAAATTTAGGTCCACATTAACCACAATTTTGGAAGGTGTAAATAAGCTAATTTTTGTATTTTTAGTAGAGAGGGGATTTCCCCATGTCTGCCAGGCTGGTCTTGAACTTCTGACCTCAAGTGATCCACCCAACTCAGCCTCCCAAAGTGCTGGGATTACAGGCAAGAGCCACTGCACCAGGCCTCACAGGCTGGTCTTGAACCCCTGCATGTCCTCCCATATACTTTATTTATTTTAGAGATGGGGTCTCCTTTTGTTGCACAGGCTGGTCTTGAACCCCTAGCCTCTAGTGATCCTTCTGCCTTGGTCTCCCAAAGTGCTGCAGTTACAGGTGTGAGCCACCATGCCGAGCCCTGCCCCATATACTTTGGATCATTTCTTAATTACTTATAATACCTAATAAAATGCTGAGTAAATAGTTGTTACACTGTATTGTTTAGGGAATAATGACAAGAAAAAATGTACAGTACCTGTTCGGATGAAATTTAAAAATAAATTTTTTTTGAGACAGTCTTACTCTGTTACCCAGGCTGGAATGCAGTGGCACAATCTTGAAGTACAAAACACTTCTAGCAAAAAAAATCTTTATTTTTAAGAAAAAAATATTTTTTCTCATTTTCTATTTTTGTCATAAATTTTTGTTCTTTCCAGTGGAACCAAAACTTGAACTTCCTTTTGGTTGATACATGCCCAGCAAGACTGATCAAAGAAAAGATGGCACAGATAAACAGTGTTAGAAATGAAAATGGAAACAGAACCATAGATAACTACAGAGATTAAAAAGATAAAACATTATACAAATAAATTTAAAGTTGCATGAAATAGATAAATTCGTGGGAAAATTTAACTTGCCAAAATTGAGGCAAGAAGAAATAAAGAACTTGAATAACATTTAAATAAATTGGATTTGTAGTTTAAAATTTTCTTTTTTTTGACACGGAGTTTTGCTCTTGTTACCCAGGCTGGAGTGCAATGGCCCGATCTCGGCTCACCGCAATCTCTGCCTCCTGGGTTCAGGCAATTCTCCTGCCTCAGCCTCCTTAGTAGCTGGGATTACAGGCGCGTGCCACCGTGCCCAGCTAATTTTTTGTATTTTTAGTACAGACAGGGTTTCACCGTGTTGACCAGGATGGTCTTGATCTCTTGACCTCACGATCCACCCGCCTCCGCCTCCCAAAGTGCTGGGATTACAGGCGTGAGCCACCGCGCCCAGCTAAAATTTTCTTAAAATGAATACACCAGGACCAGATAGAGTTCTTCCAGACAACCTAGTAACAAGTTATCTCTTGGACTAATCCACAGTTTGTCAAAAAAAAAAGGAGGTAGCATTCCCTAACTCATTTTAGGAGGCTAGTATGACCTTAATACCTAATAATGACAAAATTATAAAGGACAGTTATAGGCCAAGCTTATTGATTAGCATAGTGTTAAAAGCTTTCGCTTTAAGGTTAGAAATCTGACAATACCAACTATCAGCTTTTCTTTCTATTTGTTGTTGTTGTTGTTGTTGTTGTTGTTGAGACAGGGTCTCACTCTGCCACCCAGGCTGGAGTACAGTACAGTGGCACAATCATGGCTCACTGCAGCCTCCATCTCCCCAGGCTCAGGTCATCCTCCCACCTCAGCCTCCTGAGTAGAGGTTCATGCCACCATAGTTGGCCCAGCTATCAGCTTTTCAGGCTGATGCCGCCATACCTGGCCCAGCTATCAGCTTTTCTATTCAACATTGTACTGGAAGTTACTGCCAGAATAGAAGGCAGGAAAAGGATTAGAAGGGAAGAAATAAACTGATTATATGAGGATTATATGATTGGCAGTGTAGAATTATCATTCCCAGACCACTCCCCACCCCAAATAGATTCATCATTAGCATTATTAAGGCTTTGGTTAAAAATCAATTCGATTTATATGTCCCCATAAGAAATGGGTGGATAATAGTGTTTTTGAAGATATAGCAAAAATATAAAGTACTTAGAAATCAATCAAACAAAAATTAGGTAAAGCTTTGTAGAGAAAATTACAAAACCTTTGGAAAGCATCAAAAAAGACTTAAACAGCATATTCATAGATCTTAGAATTCAGTATCATAAAGATATCAATTCTCTCCAATTTTGTTTATAGTGTCAATAAAATTACAATCCAAATCACAGGACCCTGTTATGATTTGGATTATAATTTCATATATACAAATTTATGTATGTATTTATGGACTCACAAACTGATTCTCAAATCTATATGGAAGAGCAAAGAGCCAAGAATAATCAAGTCATTCCCGAAGAAAAAGACCAGGTGGGTAAGCTATAGTAAAACATCATGCTGTATACCTTAAATATATACAGTTTGTCTCAGGGAAGATCCATACACAGAAAAAAATACACACACATACACACACACACACACACACACACACACACACACACAATTTGTATTTGCCAGTTATACCTCAGTAAAGCTGGGAAACAATTTAAATAAATAATAAAAAATGAATAAGCCATGGTAATTGAAACAGTGGAGTATTGTCTCAGAAATAATCCAGTTAATCAATGGAACAAATTCAAGAGTCCCAAAACAAATCCACATATACAGAAAGTTAATTTATAGTCATATCAGCCGGGACTTATTCGATAAATGACGTTAGAATAATTGGCTGTTCATATGGGGGAAAACTTTAAATTGGACCCCTACCTTACTCACTGTACATAAAATTCAATTCCTAGTGGATTAAAGATTTAAATTTGAAAAGCAAAATTATAAAATATTTGAAGACTATGTAGAAATATCTCTACATTTGAGGATAAGGAAAAATTTCATACACAAAATATAAAGAAAAAAAAATTTTTTTTTTTTTTTGAGACGGAATTTTGCTCTTGTTGCCCAGGCTGGAGTGCAATGGCACGATCTTGGCTCACTGCAACCTCCACCTCCTAGGTTCAAGTGATTCTTCTGCCTCAGCCTCTCAAGTAGCTGGGATTACAGGTGTGCACCACCACACCAGCTAATTTTGTATTTTTAGTAGAGATGGGATTTCTTCCATGTTGGTCAGGGTGGTCTCGAACTCCCCACCTCAGGTGATCCACCCACCTCAGCCTCCCAAAGTGCTGGGATTACAGGTGTGAGCCACCGCACCCAGCCAGGAAAAGATTTTGAGATTGATCACGTTAAGAGTACGTGTTCATTGAAAGACACCATGGACAACATGGAAAGATAAGCACAAACTGGGGGATATTTGTAACACATATTGAAGAATTTGTGTCCTTTGCTTGGTTAGTGGAGGGAGAACTAGAGTTGAAAGGAGTGTTGGGTGAATATGTGTGTGGGCGTTGGTTTTAGGTGAGAGAGATTTTGAGCATATTTGCATATTGAGGGTGAGAAAGATGGAATAATTGGTGGACTGGTATCCCTGAAGATTGGGAGGATGTAGAATTCATAATACATGGAGAGAACCTCAGACATTTAACATTTGCTTGTATCTCAGAATGTTGACTGCCTCTACCACTCTTGCTCTCACAAAGCATATGTAGACTTCCTCACAACAGCTAATATTTGTCAAGTCCCTTACTGTCAGGCATGCTAAGGCTACAGTAGTAAGCAAAATCAGACCCAGGCATGACCTCATGAGTTTATAATTTATCAGTGGAAACACCCATTATTTAAAACCTTTAGTGTTTTTATTTTTTATAGAACTTTTTACAATTTTAATTCTTTATGTAAACAATATATTTGCTTGGTAGATAAACATTCACAAGAAGGGAATAGAAAAAACTCAGATTCCCTTGTCAGAATAGAGATAATAAGAGGAATCTTGGCTGGGTGTGGTGGCACATGCCTGTACTTCCAAGCTACATGGGAGGCTGAGATGGAAGGATTGCTTGAGCCCAGCAGGTGGAGGTTGCAGTGAGCTGAGATTGCTCCACTGCACTACAGCCTGGGTGACAGAGCAAGACCCTCTGCCAGGTGCATTGGTTTACGCCTCTAATCCCAGCACTTTGGGAGGCCAAGGCAGGCAGATGACTCACCTGAAGTCAGGTGTCTGAGACTAGCCTGGCCAACATGGTGAAACTTTGTCTCTACTAAAAATAAAAAAATTAACTGGGCGTGGTGGTGCACATCTGTAATTCTGGCTACTCTGGAGGCTGAGGCATGAGAATTTCTCAAACTCTGAAAGTGGAGGTTGCAGTGAGCTGAGATGGTGCCACTGCCCTTCAGCCTGGGTGACAGAGTGAAACTGTTCGTTTAAAAGAAAAAAGAGAGCAATCTGTCCCCCACCATCACTACTTTGAAGCTGTTTGCTGAAAACTTCATAGTCATTATTGTTGATGATTTCATGGTTGCCTCTTTTCTCCTCCAGTGCATCCCAGCCAGCTCTTAGTGTGGAGCAGTGACCTGTGTGTGGTTCCTTCTACTTGGGGATTATGCAGAGAGCTTCACGTCTGAAGAGAGAGCTGCACATGCTGGCCACAGAACCACCCCCAGGCATCACATGTTGGCAAGATAAGGACCAAATGGATGATCTGCGAGCTCGTAGGTATCAAATTATGTATATGATGAAGGTCATGACCCTATTGAAGATTGTGCTGAAATCAAACATTTTGTATATTCTAAAGTAAGGAGCAGTTATAAGGTTAGAGTGCCCTACCATCTTTCTACCCAAATGTGTTCACATTTATAAAAGGTTTGTTTCACATTTCTTGCTTCTTTGACTTTTTATTATGCCTTTGGTTGATGTATAGCCAAGATAAAAAGCAGCGAAGCAGTGTTTAGATCAAAGATAACCATCTCAAATATCTATGAGGCCAGATGGGAAACATACATGATTAGAATATTGCAGTCCAAACAAAACAAATCCATAGGTTGTATTTGGCCTTGTGGCGAGCATTTTGCACCTTCTGCTTTAGATTTCGTATATGTCCTTTGTTTGACACCATCAACTTTTTGAGTATATTAGCATTGTGGCATGTTGCATGAGGACTTGTTAAAGTTCTGAGAGAGAATTATTGTCCTAGGCCTAGTTTCTCTGTTAGGACCATAGACCTCATTAGCTCCATATGGTGGTAATTCGAATGATCTGATTGCCTGTTAACTTTTTCTTTCTTTCTTTTAAGAAATAGTAGGTGGAGCCAACACACCTTATGAGAAAGGTGTTTTTAAGCTAGAAGTTACCATTCCTGAGAGGTTAGTATGAATCAGCTTCTCAACCTAGATGGTAAAGTACATTTATTGGAAAACAGAGCAATGTCGTAGATGGAGCATTAAACGTAGGGGTTAAAGGACTAGGTTTTAATCCTGGCCTTATCATGACTTAATGTGACCTTGACCAAGTTATTTTCTCTCTCTAGAGTTCAGTTTCCTTCTCAAAAAGAATGGGCCAGATCACATCAAAGGCCCCCTCACTTTTTAAATTGTGGTAAAATATACATGACATACAGTTGACCATTCTTAAGTGTATAGTTCAGTGATATTAAATACATTCACATTGTTGTGCAACCATCACCAAAATCTATTTCTAGAACTTTTCATCCTCCTAAACTGAAGCTTTGTAGCCATTAAACTATAACTCCCCATTTTTCCCTGCTCTCAGACTCTGGCAACCACTATTGTGCTTTCTTAATATTAAGGTTCCCACCCCCCTCTTTTTAAACTTTTAGGTTCAGGGGTACATGTGTAAGTTTTTGTTTTGTTTTTACACTCCCACCCCCGCCGCAAGTTTTTTATATAGGTAAACTCATGTCATTGGGATTTGTTGTACAGATTATTTCATCACCCAGGTACTAAACCTAGTATCCAATAGCTTTGCTCTTCTCTCTCCTCCCACCCTCCACTCTCAGGTAGGCCCCAGTGTCTGTTTTTCCCCTCTTTGTGTCCATGTGTTCTCATCATTTAGCTCCCACTTATAAATGAGAGCATGTGTATTTGGCTTTCTGTTCCTGCAAAGGCCATGATCTCATTCTTTTTTATTGTTAAGGCCTTTCTTAATTCAAGTCTCCTTTAAGGCTCTCATCAGGTAAGTTATAGTTACATATTTGTACAGAATAGAAAGAGAAGAAATGAATATCTAACAGTTGAAGCATAGACTTGTAATCACTAGGTCAGATCATGGCCAAACTTATTCAAGTCTTGAGAGAATAGCTTAATAATCATGTGGTGCATCAGTTTTTAAAATAGACTGGAAACTTTGCAAGGTCTGTGTCTCACTAAAGATACATAATAACTAAATGAAATGTATAAACCTTAATTGAGTCCTGTTTTGAAAAACCCAGCTATAAAAATTTAAAAAAAAAAATTAGGGAGAACAATTGAAATCTGAATAAGTGATATTAGGGAATTAGTTCTTAAATTTTTCATAGGTATAATAGTATTGTAGTTACATAGGAGAATGTTCTCATTCTTAGAAGATATGCTCAAGAATTTAGAAGGTGGTCAAGAGATCGAGACCATCCTGGTCAACATGGTAAAACCCCGTCTCTACTAAAAAAAAAAAAAAAAAAAAAAAAAAATAGTGGCCGGGCATGGTGGCTCACGCCTATAATCCCAGCACTTTCGGAGGCTGAGGCAGGTGGATCACGAGGTCAAGAGATCGAGACCATCCTGGTCAACAAGGTGAAACCCCGTCTCTACTAAAAAAATACAAAAATTAGCTGGGCATGGTGGTGCTCGCCTGTAGTCCCAGCTACTCGGGAGGCTGAGGCAGGAGAATTGCTTGAACCCAGGAGGCGGAGGTTGCGGTGAGCTGAGATCGTGCCACTGTACCCCAGTCTGGGTAACAACAGTGAAACTCCATCTCAAAAAAAGAAAAAAAATAGAAAAAATTAGCTGGGCATGGTGGTGCGTGCCTGTAATCCCAGCTACTTAGGAGGCTGAGGCAGGAGAATTGCCTGAACCCAGGAGGCAGAGGTTGCTGTGAGCCGAGATCACGCCATTGCACTCCAGCCTGGGTAAAAAAAGCGAAACTCCGTCTCAAAAAAAAAAAAAATAATAATTTAGAAGGTGAAGTGGCTTGAATCCAGGTGGTAGATCTATGAATGTTTTCAGTACTGTTATTTTAAGATGATTGATTGTAAATTTTCATAATGAAAGTTTAGGAGGAGAGAAAGTTTGCCTTCCAAAGGCTGTCTCCCTGACATTTCTGTAATACCAACATTATTGTGACCAAGAAACTGTTTTAAATGTATTTAGAAGGAAAATTATATAATGAAAATTATCTCTTGTCTATTCTTTCATAGGTACCCATTTGAACCTCCTCAGATCCGATTTCTCACTCCAATTTATCATCCAAACATTGATTCTGCTGGAAGGATTTGTCTAGATGTTCTCAAATTGCCACCAAAAGTGAGTTGTAGGCAAATGGTTGACTCTACAGCATTCTATTTTATTCATCTATTAGAGTATCGCATTCTAATATAAAAGCAACTATTTATCTGTTTGTGTGTAGGGTGCTTGGAGACCATCCCTCAACATCGCAACTGTGTTGACTTCTATTCAACTGCTCATGTCAGAACCCAACCCCGATGACCCGCTTATGGCTGATATAGTAAATATCCCCATTTCCCTCTGCAACACATATCCTACCTTGTCTCCACCACTAACTCCCCCTGTGTGAGGATAGCTGTAGCAGCTCTAACTGACTACTGCAAATCATTTTTTTCTCCATAAACTCTTCTCTTTGATTTTATCTCAGTCCTCAGAATTTAAATATAATAAGCCAGTCTTCCTCAAGAATGCCAGGCAGTGGACAGAGAAGCATGCAAGACAGAAACAAACGGTATGATGTTTGCTACTGTTGTCAGTTAATTAAGTATATAAAGTATATATGTATAAATAATGTTTCTTAGATTTGCCAAATTTGTACTAACCTCTAGAATGACTAGTTGATCTTTTTTTCCTGTTGCAACCTTCTAAATAATCATTCAGCAAAATAGCCTAATAGCTCAACCAACTGTAGATATTTTAGAACAGTTATCATATGTTGGCAACACTAGAGGGCAGGCAGCATCTGGTTAATTTCTTTTATAATGTGGGTAGCAGGGATAGCGGGTGGTGTCTCAGATTCTTTTTTGCTAAATTGTCCTTTTAACACTGAGAAGAATCTATATTTGCAGGGACTAGTTGCAGAAATAGGGGGAAACTTACTTTTCTTAGGGGACCATCCATGGAAGAAGTTTGAAGGAAAAACTTCAGGTCAATAGAATTTCTTAATTTAGCAAAATACAAATTACTGGAACATGGAAATTAGCACATCATAGTTCTTGCTGAGTTACACCATCCTTCATATTGAGTTAAGTAGCGGTTGTGTTACTTGTAAAAAGAAATAAAAATTAAAACATACGAAACAATTGAGGAAAGCCGGGCACAGTGGCTCAAGACTGTTATCCCAGCACTTTGGGAGGCCGAGGCGGGTGGATCGCGAGGTCAAGAGATCAAGACCATCCTGGTCAACATGGTGAAACCCCATCTCTACTAAAAAATACAAAAAATTAGCTGGGCACGGTGGCGTGTGCCTGTAATCCCAGCTACTCAGGAGGCTGAGGCAGGAGAATTGCCTGAACCCAGGAGGTGGAGGTTGCAGTGAGCCGAGATTGCGCCATTGCACTCCAGCCTGGGTAACTAGAGTGAAACTTCATCTCAAAAAAAAAAAAAATTGAGGAAGATTTTTTGAGAGAATATCATATGCACAATGCAATATATAAATCTTGCAACGAAGAAGAGCATGGAAATAATATTACAGAGCTTTGTTTTTCTCCATCCTGGCATTTGTGTGAACCTTACTATATTTCACCCTATCTCTTCCCTTTTAGGCTGATGAGGAGGGGATGCTTGATAATCTGCCAGACGCTTGTGACGACTCCAGAGTACACAACTCAACACAGAAAAGAAAGGCCAGTCAGCTAGTAGGCATAGTAAAGAAGTTTCATTCTGATGTTTAGGGGATTTGTCCTGGTCCATCTTAGTTAATATGTTCTTTTTTTTTTTTTTAATTTTTAATTTTTTTTTTTTCAAAGATGGGGTTTCACCATGATGGCCAGGCTAGTCTTGAACTCTTGACCTCAGGTGATCCACCCACCTTGGCCTCCCAAAGTGCTAGGATTACAGGCGTGAGCCACCGCGCCCGGCCAGTTAATATGTTCTTTGCCAAGGTGATCTAAGTTACCTACCTTGAATTTAAAAAATTGTGTATTTGATGACATAATTTTTGTGTAGTTTATTTATCTTGTACGTGCGTATTTTGAAATCTTTTAAGCCTGGAAAATAAATAGTCATTTAATGTTGAATATGTGTTTATCCTGAATGTGTGTCTGGGAGTAAACTGGCCAGAGAGCTATATAATCGGAATGTTAAAATATTTGGAATTGTTGTCTGTTAGTTTGCCGGCTTACCAGCTTCACTAGGGACATTGAATGTTTGACACAGATGTAAAATAGCTGTAGAAACAATTCAATTACCCTTACAGTTTCAGGGATTATAGCTTTTCTGAGGTCTTAAAATAATGTGAGAAGAAGACAATAGATTCTTTTGCAAATTTTTAATTTTTTTTGAAACTTTTGCTTTTTGTGATTTACATAGCTGACCGGAATTGCTGTGATAAAACTTTCATTTGTTCAACAAATACTCATTGAACACCTACTGTTTGCCAAGTAGTATGCTAGTGTTTGAGAATGAAATGGTGAGAAAATCAGATGCTAGATTAACCAAATACTCAAACAAATTTAAGTAGGGATTTCCTCTCTCCAGCATCATTTTATGGCAAGTACCATTCTGGACAATTTGGTACCAAACTTGAATTCCCTGCTTATGATTTTACAATACACTTGACTTATCTTTGTAATTCTATTTAAGTAACAGAGATAACAGATTTGAGTAGAAATCAGCTGAAGTAGAAATCAGCTGAAGTAGAAAGAGGTTACCCAGGCCAAGTGAAGGCTTTTTGCGGAATGTATTCTAGATATTGGACCTTCCTAGGGAGGTGAATAAAGACTGTAATGCCCTTGTCCCTATCCCAGTATAGCAATGATGGTTTTTACCTAGGCTAGGCACCATGCATGTAAAATGCATCTCTGAATAGGCAACTTTCATTCATCCACCTACGAATTACCTTGTACTCTTTACTGAGCAGCAGCCTGCCATACTGCTCATGTGGTGTTTGGACCCTGGCAAAGAACAAGAAGTACAAATTTATATAATCCATTAATGACAGGTCATGTCAAAAGTCAAAAATACAAATCTCTAACCTCTACAGAATTTTTGAACCCACTTTTCAAAATCAGTTACTGGTCTCTTTTTAAAGCCCAGGAATTACTTTTATTCCAGGCTTGTGTCCTGTGCTTATGCATACTTAAGTCAGGTTTGGATTTCCAAATGCCACATGAACAGTATGGCAGGCTGCTGCTCAGTAAAGAGTACAAGGTAAATTCATAGGCAGATGATTGAAAGTTGCCTTTTCAGAGATGCATTTTACATGCATGGTGCCTAAAAATCATCATTGCTACACTGGAATATGGACAAGGGCATCATTTACATGCATGGTGGCAAAAATCATCATTGCTACACTGGGATATGGACAAGGGCATTATAGTCTGTATTCACCTGCCTAGGCAGGTCCAATATCTATAATACATTCCACAATTAGTATATCATTTAGGATACTTACAGTTGTGAGTGAAATTCAACTCAGACTAGCAATATTGAAGGAAGTTCATTGCCTTACTAAATAGAAAGTACAAGGGTAGAGTGAACACCTGGATTGGTGGATTCAAAGGTTCAACAATATCAATATCTTGGTCTCTTTCCTTCCGTCCTTCATAGTATCAGCTTTCTCTTAGGCTGTTTGTTCCTGAAGTTTCTTCCCCTCCTAGGGTGACTACCAGCAGCAGTTGGGGTTATGTACTTTATTCAGCAGGCCAGGAGGCTCTACTTTCCATGAAGCAAAAGTCTCTGTAGACACCTTGAAAGCAATCACCATGGCCAGGGAAATGCTATGTGCTGATTACTCTGGGTTAATAAACCCAGATATGAAGTGAGAGATGGACTTAGGAAGTAGTTGTAGGAAAAGAGTACCTCCTATAGGACAAAATCCCTTACACTTCTATCACCATGTCTGGTCAGCTCTACCAGCTACTTCTCCCTACCCCTACTTATAACACTAGTTCAGCTGCCATCATCTCTCACTTGCACGTTAGCCATAGCCTTCTAACTTGTTTCCTTGCCCCCATTCTTGACTTTGACCTACCATGCTCTTCACAGCACCAAGAATAATCTTTTGACAATGTAAGTTGGATTTGGTTTCATTCCTCCAAGTGGCTTCATCTTGCAATTAAAAGCCTAGTCTCCCTTGACCCATAAGACCCTGCATGATCTGGCACCTGCTTGTTTTATCTATCCATCCTCATTGCATACCCTCAACCCTTATACCGTATACAGACCTGCTTTCAATCTCTTGAACACACCTAGCTCATTCCTACTTCAGGGATTTCATATATGCTATTTCCTCTGCCTCCTACATTCCCCAGGATAGTCTCAGCTTGAATGTAGCTGCCTCAGAAAGTACTTGTCTATCCCATCTAAAGGAGCTCTAGAGCCTCAGATACTCTCTGGTCCATAGCCTATTGCGCTAATTAATTTTCTTTATAACACTTGTATCTATCTGGAAATGTGTTCATTTTTATTTATTTATTTCTTTTTTCTTTTTTTTGGGGGGGGGAGGAAGGCAGGAAGGAAGGGAATAAGGACGGTAGGGAGGAAGGAAGGGATGAAGGAAGGAAGGAAGGGAGGAAGCGGGGAGGGAGGGAGGGAGGGAGGGAAGGGAAGAAAAGAAATCAAGCAATGAAAGAGACATTGCCGACCTGGATCTAGAGGTTTACAAGTTGATTTCTTTTTTTTGAGAGAAGGAAAGAAAAAAAAAATAAGTAAAGGAGAGGAAGAAAGAGGAAGAGAAAGAGGGAGAGTAAATGGAAATATTGCTTTATTTTGAAAAAAATTGGGTATTAATAATGGCCAATCAATGTTTCATTTAAACTTATGGGTAGGTGTGATGTGGTATTGACAAGAATGTATATTTTGTGTATTTGAAGTGGAGAGCTCTATAAATATTTATTAAGTTTACTTGTTCTGGATCTGAGTTCGAGTCCTTGATATCCTTATTAATTTTCTATCTCATTGAATCTAAGTCTCCTATCTGGGTGTTAGGATCGTTAGCTCTTGTTGTTGCATTGATCCTTTTACCACTATATCTTTGTTGCTTTAAAATCTATTTTATCCACTACGAGAATTGCAACTCCTGCTTTTTATTTATTTATTATTTATTTTTGCTCTCCATTTGGTTGGTTAATCTTTCTCCATCCCTTTGTTTTGAGTCTTTGTGTATCCTTGCATGTGAAACAGGTCTGGATGTAACATGCCGTTGGGTTTTGGCTGTGTCTTTTGATTGGGAATTCAGTCAATTTAAATTTAGGGTTACTGCCATTTGATGTTGACTGGCTGTTTTATCCATTTGTTGGTGTAAATTCCTCTTTATGTTGGTGCTCTTTACTTTTTGGTGTATTTTTAGAAAGGCTAATACTGGTTGTTTCTTTCTGTGTGTAATGCTTCTTTCAGAAGCTCTTGTAAAGCAGGCCTGGTGGTAATAAAATCTCTGAGTTCTTGCTTGTTCATAAAAGATTTTATTTTTCCTTCAGTTGTGAAGCTTAGTTTGGCTGGATATGAAATTCTGGGCTGAAGGTTCTGTTCTTTGAGGATGTTGAATATTGGCCCCCACTCTCTTCTGGCCTGTAGAGTTTCTGCCGAGAGATCTGCTGTAAGTCTGATGGGCTTGCCTTTGTGGGTAATCTGACCTTTCTCTCTGGCTGCCCTTAGTATCTTCTCCTTCGTTTCAACCCTGGTGAATCTAACGATTATGTGCCTTGGGGTTGCTCTTCTTGAGGAATATCTTTGTGGTGTTCTCTGTATTACCTGGGGTTGAATGTTGACCTGCTTTGCTAGTTTAGGAAAATTTTCCTGAATAATATCCTGAAGGGTACTTTCCAGCTTGGATTCATTCTCTCCGTCGCATTCAGGTACACCTATCAAACGTAAATTTGGTCTTTTCACATAGTCCCACATTTCTTGGAGACTTTGCTCATTCCTTTTTATCCTTTTTTCTCTAATCTTTTCTTCACGTTTTATTTCATTAAGTTGGACTTTGACCTCTGATATCCCTTCTTCTGCTTGAACAATTCGAGTGTTTAAACCTGTGCATACTTCTCGGAGTTCCTGTATTGTATTCTTCAGTTCCATTAATTCACTCATACTCCTCTCTAAGTTGTCTATTCTCAATAGGATTTCATCAAACCTTTTTTCAAAGTTCCTAGTTTCTTTACGTTGGGCTACAACATGTTCTTTTAACTCACCGAAGTTTGTTATTATCCATTCCTTGAAGAGTGATTCTGTCATCAGGAGGTGCTCGTTCTCCATCAAGCCTTGTTCCATTGTTGATGTGGAACTGTGATCATCTTTAGAGGGAGAGGCGTTCTGACTTTGAGTATTCTCAGCTTTTTTACGCTGGTTTCTTCCCGTCATTGTAAATTTATCCTCCTGTCATCTTTGAAGTTACCAACTTTCAGATTAGGTCTCTTGAGTGGACGTCCAGGTTGTTGGTTCCCAGGGCCAGAGCAGCGGCGTTAAAACTGATGGTGCTTTTCTGCCCAGGATTCTCCTGTCGGCCTTCCTTCTTGTTTCCGTAGTAAGCGACTCTGCCTTCCCGGGGCTCCAAACCTCGGTCAGAAGGGGATCCTGTCCCGTTTACTCTGCGCCGAGCTGCCGCGACGAGGTGCCGGCGGAACCGCTGCGCCGACCACGAGAGTTGCGCTGGTGACTCGTGTGTTTCCACCACTGGGGGATCTTCTGCTTCGTGAGCGACCAGACTTTGTCTGAAAGTGTGGCGTCCTCTAGTTCTCCGCGCCTTCCCTGAGAGCTGCAATCCTGGGATGTTAGCGATTGGCCATCTTGGATCGTTCTCCAATGTGTTCATTTTTAAATGTATATATTGTCTCACTGTAAGTGCTGGGGATATAGTGGCTACAAGGAACTTTACTCTCTAATTACAAGAAACACCAGAGCCAAAAGCTATTAGAAGTCATCCTACCATTTCTTTGCCTGAAGTACAGAAGACTGGGCTAGAGAACAGAAGTGACATGCCTGAGGATTTAAAATCCCTGCTCCCTACTCCCAGCTCAGGGGAGGATGGGAAAGGGCTAAAAGCATGGACTTAGGTCAAGAAGACCTGGTTTCAGCTCTGG